TGCATCGAAAGCAGAGAACACAGTGTTAGAGATTGAACAGATTCTGCAGAGTGGGAGAATAGAGATAGAATGAAGCAGAATGATGAAAAAGGGGTCCCTATGTCCTCCAGCAGTCTAAGCCTATAGGAGCTTTAACAAAGGATGAGATCAAAACCTTTGCCTTTTCTTCTGAGAATCTTTGTTTATTACGGTATCTCTGCATCACCTCCGGTCACAACATCTTTTCTAAAAGAAAATGAAGTCAGTTTTAAAAAGAAGGTAAGAAACAGAATGTCAGAATTAAGTTTAGCCCAAAGTAAAGCTTCATTAATATTTTGCATGTCAGAGAAGAATAAGAAAAATTTTCATTCTAGAAAGTTCTTTTGCAAAATAAGTGTTGCAGCTAACTCAAATCCAAGGTCAAGCGCAGATCTTAATGGGTCAGATCCAGATCTTTATTCAATCTAATATTTATCAAGAGATTTAGTTTTTAAAAGCATATGTAATAATTAACTTGGTTTCATTTCCAGCTGACCCTCCATCTGAGATCACCACGGCAACACAGTAGCAACATAAGTCTAAAATGGTCTTATTAATGGCTTAGCTAGGTCCTCAGTGGGACTTTTAGGTGTTCTTTTATATTTTCCCCGTTACCCAGGATGATTGAGGTGAGCATATGACAGGAGACGGCTTGCTGAATAGTCCTCCCTCCCTCTGTAGATCTTAATGTTTTCCATTGTTTTCCTGCCACCCTTTAACCCCCTGATCACTACCATCCAATCTTCTCTCAGAGGACTCTGTGATTGATTTCCATAATCACATTTGATGTTGGTTTATGCTATTGTCCCTGTGGTAAAGGCATCTATTTTCTAAGATCTCTAACTGTGGTGTCAAATCGAGCAAACGCTGATGGAAAAAGCCTAAAAATTAACTAGACACCAGGCATGGACATGATTCTGACAGATTTAGACATCTTTATGTAATTTTGGCTAACAACAGCACCTGGCAGGACCCTGGTAAGGAAAGTAGGCTGGTTGGGGTGGGGCCGGACCCTGGCTTGGTCTGGCTTGCCACCCTTTTCTAATTTATATTTTTTATATATTTATACTCAGAAACCAGGTTGTCTGCGTGTGTCGCAGTTAATGCAGATATGCCCCGCCCCTTCCGCAGACACTCTGGTGTACCTCCCCAAATTTGTAGCTGACCGCAGACAGGAGGCCTCTGATTGGTCAGATCTCCATCCGCTCTACACTATGCGTATTTCCTGTTTGGTTCCTTACCGGGTTGTTTTGTTTGTATGACCGCCATTGTGGAAAATTACTGATGAAGATGGACCAGCTAGAAGAGCGAGGTGCGTGAGAACTCTGGGACCCTTTTTCCTCCTGGATCCCCGTTCTTTTTGGCCCTCATCACCCTCGTTGTCGGACAAACTTGCCCCCACTTCCTCACTGCCTCGGCCGTATCTAGACCCACAGCTAGTTCCTGATTGGCCCACTGGCGTTGTGGCGTGGAATAACATAGTGCAGACCACACTTCAATATTGGGCATAAATCAAAAATATCTGCGACAAGCTCACTGCGACACACTGCTGCTGGAGGATAACCAGGCCTTCACAGTTCAACTTAAGTCTTTATGTTAGGTGCAGAGGAGACACCATGCCATCACTGTGAAACAGGATTTTACTCTTTTCAAAGACAAAATGTTTACGTAATTAATTCTCCTGAATTAGCGTTTACAAAGTTGAGGTGGCCAGCCAGACTGTAGAACCGAGACCCAGAATTAATTCCCAAAGGCCTGCTCTCTGGAAATTTTGAAGCAGCACTCAGCAATATTTGAGGGTCCCTCCCAGTGCTGTAGCTCCCTCTAAAGCAGCTGGAAGACACATATCATGATGAAATGTCTAAAAGGTAGTGGCTGTGGGGGATCATGAGGGGCGTATGGCTCTTGGCGGTACATGGCAGCCTAAACAATAGAGCCGCAAGACTCAGTCAGTGGTATGAAGACAGTAGAGGGAGATGACAGACCTCTCAATTGTCTCAGCATTTAAACTACCATCACAATGACTTAGAGGAGGATACATTAAGGTAAAAATGTTACCTAGTGCTGCTTTAAGATTCATGTTTAACTCTACCACAGCTGGATTATCATGCAGCCATCCGTTCATTAGCTCCTTAGAGGTGTTCGCTCTGACAAAAGCTTGAAAAACCTCCAAGATGCCGCTAGGTTTAAGTCTCCGTTCTTCAACATCATCGACACCAAAGGCTGTTTACGTCTTAATGTGGTCAAGTTTCTGTATTGTATATTGACTGAAGGGTGAATTTTTTTCTTTAGCCAGTCATCAGTTCGGGTCAATCGAGTTAAAAAATCAAAGGATAGCACACCCACCTGATTCCTTTATGGATCTCTGAACATAAACTAGTTGGAATATCGACACATTGTTATATTGTACCTATATGTAGTATGTAGTGCTTTCATTTGTGTATACTTGCTGCGTTTATGTAGGGTTGGTTTCCTTTGAGACAGTAAATAGATTTAAAGCCTTTCCACTCGACACCACCAGCAATGACCAATGCAGTAGAGGGTGATACCGGTTCCCCAGGGGCCGCTATCTTGCAACTTTTTTCCTTGGTCCAACACACCTGATTCAAGTAATTAGATGATTAATAGAACTGCAGAAACTGAAAACACACCAAGGAGGTAATTCAGCCATTTGATTCAGGAGAGTTTGACCAAGTCTAACAACAAATTTAAAGGTTCAAGATAGCGGCCCCAAGGAACTGGATTTGGCCACGCCTGGACTAATGAGTTCAAATGGCCACGTGCTGTTTGCATCTGATCAAAGGAGTAGGACCTACTGCAAGCTTTGCCTCTACTGGGACAAAGAAATCTGGATCCCTGAGAGTTGATTTTGCTTTATCGCCATCTGCATGAATGTTAATTTTGTGAACCTGAGTGGAGCATGTGACTTAGGTCTTGAACCAGTAGTTGTAGTACTGAGTGTCTTTCTTCTGTTGCTCTTTCTGCTGTCTCCCCACTGCAGAAAAGGCCGATGGGAGGAGTCAAACTCTACCCAAGTCCCAGAATCAAGCACCACCCCTCTTCCCTCTCCATCTGACATTACTTTATCTACCACCACCATCACCTCTCCCTCTGCTACATCTACTGACACTTCCTTTCCATCCCTTGATGTTCACTCCCTTCCCTCATCCACCACCTTTCCCTCCACCACTAGTTCCACCACCTCCGCAATTCCTACAAAAAATATAAAGAAAAAGTTTGGTGATTTCTTCGTCTTCAAGAGAGCTCGAGCAGGCCGATCTGCCAAGACAGGCGGTGGGGATGGAGGACAAGGATCTGAGGTGGTCAAGGTCAAAAGGTCCTCCATCGCAGATCTCATTCGACCCCTTCGGGAGACCAAAGACAGGGACAGAGATAGGGAAAGGGAGAAGGAGAGGTGGAAGGTGTCAGAGGAGGATGCTAACATTTGTAATGATGCCACTACTACAGAAGGAACTGTCGCCCCCGGCTGCCATCTTGCCGACGTTGTGAGGGAAACAGTACCCCCGGCTGAATCATTAAGCACAACACAATCGAGCGGGACGACTCCCCCCTACCCCACCGTCGCAACAAGCCCTGGACTCACCACAGCTGTGCTAGCTGAACTGGAAGAAGCAGCAGCTCCTGTACCACCACCACGCCTCAGCCCAACTCCTGCCATCTTTACAACACCGGCGGCGCCAGAGAGGCAACCAGGGGATCCGTCATGTGGGGAAAGGAGACTGAGGGTGACCAAAAGACTGAGAGAAAATAAGAGCCAGAGTCTCATCCTGCTGACAGGGATAGAAGCGGAGGACAAAGATAATACACCCAATAAGGTCAGTCTGACAAGAAAACACAGACACCAATGTCATGTATGTTATGTAGCTTAAAAAGATTATTTACATTTACAAAAAACTCCAAACATTGGTAAAAGAAAAGGTTAAGTTGTAAAAATGGGGTTTGATTGTATGCTAACATTATGGAAGGTTTTTAATCAAGCTATGTGTTATTTTTCCGAACCTTACAGTTTTATGTGTGCCTCTAAGTGTTTGTGTATTCTGCAAACTTCGTGTATCCTCACAAATGGAAATGTTTGGTTTAAGGCTAGTTGGCTAAAATGTTTAGACAGTCTCACCAAAGCCTCTTTCCCGCTGAAAATAGCAGGTTAACGTGTGTTTTCCAAACATGTGTCGACCCGCTAACAACCGGCATCTGGCTCCCTTCCCACTGGCAATAGAAGCTGGTCTATCCACTCATGCGACACCGTCATACTGGGTTAGCCTTGATGATGTCACCATTGCGACAAATCAGGAAAGTAAACAATGGAGAGCAACATGGAAGGAAGCCAGGGCATAGTCGCTGTGCTTTATTGGTTGTATTATCTGTCTGAATCCCTCTCACAAGAGCTGCTCCCTGTTTATCGAATATAAACAGAGTTGTTTCTGCTTCATAGATCAGTAGCGACTGACGCGGTGTGTTGACGTCCGTACGTTATGTTTAATGGTATATCATAATTTAGCTCTGGTGTTTCCACAGCATGCCGGTCAGAGCTGAGGCGCAAACAACTCGGCGTTTTGCTGAGTCATTTGACCCAGGTAGACAGGCATCAGTGAGCTGTTCCCTCTGCCACTAAAGCCGATTGTTCCTGGGTTTAAACTGGTTTTTAGGCCAGTGGGAAAGGGGTACAATTTTAAATATTTTTCATGTAAATTCACTAGTAAAGCTTAGTTTTATCTATCATGTCCCAAAGGGTAGGTTGCTACATAAAATTCATACTTTTGTTTAGTTTTTTTATGTTGTACAACAATGCAAAGGTTATTGGGAAGTGTTTCTTTTAGATGAAAGAAATATGTTGGATCAATGGTTAATTAAAAATGTCAGTAGATTCATTTAAAAGCTGGCATGGCAGCCTTGGCAGCAAACACTTTTTCTTTTTTAATGCTACCAAGTTAGGTGTAGAAACATTAAACTTGTGATTTAATCTTAAGAAGAAACACAGCTATAATTCAACCTTTTATCTGTCTTTTAAACCACTAACTAGTTGAACTTTCCTTGTATGTCCAGAAACATCCATTATTCAGTAAATCCATCCATCTTCTCCCACTAACTCCATTAGGGTCTCGCTGGGGCCGTTGCCCATCATTATTAAGATATACTGTAATAGAAATATTGGTTGAGCTGGTTTAAGTGTCCGTTGATCAGGTCCCTGAGGTATCTGACTGCGACCCAATACCTCATGGTTCGCCCTGCACATGGCGGGCCCACTCGGGGAGTTACCTCTTGTCACTGGTTTGTCCTCCGGCTGGCTGTCCTGTGAGGGGAACCAGAAACCCTGGGACCTCATCATTGGCCACCAGCATTTATGGATTTGTAAAAAATTTCTAGGTGCAGCCATGGGCAGGACGTCTGGTTTGGGGACAGGCAGATATCGTCAATGCTTTTTGTAGATGTGGTTCACATGGCCCCCCCTGCCAAGACCTACAACATGTGTTGGGTCTGTGAGTGCAAAGAAGCAAAAAAAAAGCAAGTGCTGTATATTTTCAAGAGAAGATATAGATCATTTATTTATTTTGGTATCCATGTTTTTTGGGGTTTGAGTCAGTCCTGGTCTTTCACAGTGACTGCCCCAACTAAAGGTGCAAAAGCAAAACCACAGCTCCATCTGCCAGAGTGGAGGTTCAGAGGTGGCCCATCTTCCCCTCATCCTTTTAGGTAAATTGTTTAGTTTAAACAAAATAAAATAAAAAATAGATATTAGGAACTTAAAATAATAAAATGGATATAAAATCGGACACCCAAAAATCACGATTTATCTGCAAATTAATCTTTTTCCCACACCCCTAGTAATTTAAATGTTGTTCCTGTTCTTAATCATAGAGACAGTTCAGCTGTAAACTGCAGGTTTGTTATGCTTTACATGTGATGGTTGAGAGCATTGACACTATTAAGACCTCTGTGCTCCCTGTTTTTCAGAAACATGCATCTGAGAGCACGCCTGGCTTTGAACAGAGGCTTCAGGTGATGCTGCACAGAATGGGAGTGACCAAAACTCCACCTGCTGATACCAAGATGTGCCAGGTAAACAGGACAGGGGTGTGTTAGGCTCCGGTCACACTGCAGGCCTTAATGCTCAATTCCGATTTTTTTGTGAAATCCAATTTTTTTTTTCGTTACTGTTCAAATTTCCAAATGTATGTGCGATCTCCTGTGTGAACTGCTCTCGGACTGTTTGAGTGTCCTGCATGCGCAGTAGCTGAAGCAATAACATCACAAGCCAGTGTGCTCTGTGATTACGAAAGTAAACATGGATGGTACTGATGGAGCTCATCTAACGATCATTTCCAACCTTAAAAACACAATCTGCTCATTTCAATCCAGTTTATTTCTATAGCGCCAATTCTCATCATGTCATCTCAGGTCACTTTCCACTTCACCAGATCATCCAAGCAGATTGATTCAAAGTTTTCTATCTAAGGAAAACCAGCTGATTGCATCGACTCATTGACTCTTCAGCAATCCCTCACACTAAGAATGCTTGTAGCAACAATGGAGAGGAAAAACTCCCTTTGAACAGGAAGAAACCTCCAGCAGAACCAGGCTCAGTGTGAGCGGCCATCTGCTGAGGCCGACTGGGGTTCAAGGAGACAGAAGCAGACATAGACAAAGAAGCATAGATACAAAAGGCAACTGCCAACCAGCTCCACAGGCGGCCCCGTCCAGGAAACACACAGCCAGGCAGACGAGCTCTTAGCCAGCTCCCATGTCAGAGGATGAAGAGAGCACATCCAGTTAGTCACAGTCAGAGAAACAGGACTACACTAAAAAACAGGCCAAGCTCCAACATCTAGAAACAAAGGAGTTGATGGCAGCAGCACAGCTGATATTTCTCTCCAGTATGGAGTCACAGCTGGTTAAACATCGTATTGGATCAGGACCACAGAGCCCGGTGAACTGGGTCGCATTGGAAAGACTTAGATCTGAGTTGTTCAAACTGTCATGAAAAGATCAGATCTAGGAACGTACTGGAGAGTTTTTTTTTCCTTTATCCACATAATTTCAAATCATAATTTCACTGAAATAAAATGTAGCTGATATAAAGGTATTTTTTCGTTTTTATGGAGAATAGCTGTTAGTTTCACACAATGCATTGAAATAAAGTCATCACCCTAATTCTGTGTGATGAGTGATAACTTTTAATCCCAATTGATAACATTTCTGGTTCTTAATGGCTTTATACTACTTTATAATACTTAATGATTTAAGCTATTTGCACAGCAGGGGGGGGGGGGGTGATCCTTGATCAGCTCCTGGAGCTATACAGTGGAAAAGCAATGATTTGCCTAAAACTTTGTCTTAATCATTTTAAGCAGTTATCATATATATACAATGGTTGCAGTGTTAAAATTTTGTATGTTAATGTTTTTTTATGGTGTTTTTTACAGAATAAAGATGAGGAGCTGAGAAAAGCCACCTCTGAAGGTAAGTTTGAGCATCTCTACAACCCTTTAAAACTCACTATGGACTATAAATCAGCAGCTTCTTTCATCTCTGTGAAAATGCTCAACTTGTTCAAGGTTCTCTGTGTTTATATTAATCTCAATGCACTTTCCAGAGACAAATTAATCAGATCTTCAAATCATTGTCAGATTGGTTTAGTTTTCTATCTAAGGAAACCAGCTGATTGCCTCCAGTCATTGACTTTGCAGGATTCTTTCCTCCTGAATGAGCAGGTAGAGACAGTAGGTTGACTCTACAGCAGCCTCAGTGGAGAGGAGAGACTCCCTTTAAACAGGAAAAAAACTCCAATAGAAACACAACCAGTTGCATTGGGAGCAGCCTTTACCTAAGGCCCACTGGGGAAGCTATTTAGGTTATAATGGGTAACGGTGCACTAGCTCCTCCGGTGGTTCTGCTCAGGAAATAAACAGTTAAGCAAACAAGCTCTGAGCCAGTTTTCATGTCAATAGGGATGAAAGAGAGCACATAAAGTTAGGGATTGAACTAACA